GGGCCGGGCCGGGGCGGGGCCCGGCGGGGGCGGCGGAGCCCAGCCCCGGGCGGGCACTGCCCTTGGGCCGGAGCGGGGCGGGGAGCGGCGCGGCACCGCCTGCCCGGGGCTGGAGGGAGCTCCGGTGTGACCGAGTGTCGCCTCCTGCACTTGGCCTCTGCAAGCCCAGGCTGGGAAGAGTGGCTGGGAAGTGGCCCAGCGGAGAGAGACCCGGGGGGCCGCTCGACACTGGCTGAACATGAGCCAGCAGGGTGCCCGCTTGGCCGGGGAGGCCAATGCCATCCTGGCCTGGATCAGCAGTAGTGTGGCCAGCAGGACCAGGCAAGGGATCGTCCCCCTGTACTTGGCACCGGTGAGACCACACATCGAGTGCTTTGTCCCGTTCTGCACACACACACACACACCCAGTTTAGGAAGGATTTTGAGCTCCTGGAATGTGTCCAGAGAAGGGCAGCAAGGCTGGTGAGGGGTCTGGAACACAAGCACTATGAGGAGCAGCTGAGGGAGCTGGGGTTGTTTAGCCTGGGGAAAAGGGTCCTCAGGGAACCTTATCACTCTGTACACCTGCTTGAAAGGAGGGGGTAGCCAGGTGGGAATTGGTCCCTTGTCCCAGGCAGCCAGTGGCAGGACAAGAGGACATAGTCCAGAACCACACTATGGGCAGTTTGGGGTGATTAGACACTGAAACGGGCTGCCCAGGGAGCTGGTAGTGTCACCGTCCCTGGAGGTGTTTAAGAAAAGACTGAACGTGGCACACTCAGTGCCATGGTCTGGTTGACAAGGTGGTGTTCGGTCACAGATTGCTTTTCCAACCTAATCGATTCTGCGATTCTGCACCGAACGCAGCGTTGAACAGCACAGAAGTTGGAGTGAGCTTTTCAACTTGACTCCTTGCTGCTTTACTGCAGCGTTTGCTTAGGGGCGAGGAAATGCAGGAAGCGGGACAATCGCAGCAGATGCGGCCCGCGATGCAGCCCGCGCCGCAGGGACCGGAGCGCCCTCTGGTGGCACGGAGCGGGGCCGCGGGGCGGCGGCGGCTCCCGGGGTGTGCCCGGTGCCCCCCGGCGGGCGCGGCGCTGTCCCTGGGACACGCGCGCTGTCCCTCAGCACGGCCCGGGTCGCAGGCTGTAGTGGCGCTCGCTCCTGGGGTAAAATAAACAGCTATTGACCTTCCTGCCGCTGAGCAGTTCAGTCGTTACCTAGAACAGTACGGAGTACCTTCCCTTTTGAAAACTGGCCATTCAAAGTGTATTAAGTCCAGCCTTTCCTATTCTGTGCCCTTTTGGAAATGTGGTCTCCTTGATGAGTCACCAGAGCCTTGGGAAAGGCGCTCAGGGGTAGAAATGTTGGGTGGGTTGGGCAGGTTTGTGCTTTCCTTTGAGCTTTGCTGCCTGTTTGCTTGGCACGACTGAGACTGTAGAGACACTGTAAAATGTTGGCTGTGCTCTTGTTTCTCCTTGCATAAAGGCTGAATAGGCTGCTCTGATAATTATGTGTTAATGACATGCCTATGCTCCGCCCTCACCCCCCCCCCCCCCCCCCCCGCCTTTTCTTTTTTTCCTCCTTTTTCTGGGATGTTCTTTGGAGATTACAAGAGAGTTTGGTAAAAAATCCTGCTGTGGTGAAACTGCTGGGAATCCCATCTACAAAACCCACTGAGGTTGTGGACCTGATTAATAAATGTCCCTGTGTTGCTTTGCTGGTGCAGGAGAGAAGAGCGTGTGGCCCCACTTAAGCCTTAGTATCTGGGAGAAATTTATGAAATTTTTAAATGACATTAAACTTTTTGTGGTTTTTTTTCTCCCGCGTTTGTTTGCTTTGCTTTGGTTGGTTTTTTAGTAGCCCATTCGTTAATTTCTTCCTCTTTAGAACATTGTACACAATTGCTTCTGCCTGCCCATAATGCCATGCCCAAAGGTGGAGCTGAGATCCTGATCCGGGCCGAGCTCTGTGGTAGGAGAGCCCGCCTTGTCCCGCACCCGCAAGGCCGTGCTTGGGAATGCAGCCAAAAAGCGGCTCAGGGCTGCTGCGCTGCAGGGCTGCGCTGCAGGGCTGCTGCGCTGCAGGGCTGCTGCGCGGCGGTGACTGCAGAGGGCGGTGCATGCACAGCCAAGGCCGCGGCTGCCTCCTTACGCTGGCCTTGGTGGCCAGGCGGGGTCAGAGACCGTGTCGTGTCACCCGTACGGACACACTCCAGTGAGGACCGCCCGCACCGTGGGCAGAGGACAGGGAGCTGCCTTACTTTTGGTTCTCTGTTGCCAAAAATAATTGATATATCTTTTTATTAGGTGATACTCTTCCAGCTTCCCATGGGGCAGCAGCCCCGCTCGCTGCCGGCCCTGTTGGCTCTCATGGGTAGCTGTACCAGCCCTGGCATCTCAGCAGCCTTGGACCTGAATGTGAAATAGTTCATGGAGCCAACTCCCTGCTCAGGCCTTTCTGGGCGGCTGGACATTCAGAGATTCCATTTCTGATATGGGACAGTGTCTTTGGCCTGACTTTTTAAAACAGGCTATTTCTCTTGAGAAAGAGAGAAGTCTTTAGAGTATTTAAGAAGCTGAATATAGTTCCAGTTTTAATAATTTAAAGCCAGATTACCTGTAGCATCATCTAGTCTGGCCAGCACACGCCATTTAATATTACCTTGTTTCTCTGAATAGAGGTCAGTGACTTGCACTTACAGGATAAGCTTCAAGGGGCATTTTGTCTTACCTTGAAGGTGTCATAAAACAGCAAGTCCACAGCTTTCAGTGATTAATCTTTCTTGTGTTTCTTAGGTGTTAGATACATCTGATGACTAATTTTGAGGGAGTAATTTCCCAGAGTAGCTGAAAAGCTTGCTCTATCATATTTTGCAAAGGTTTGCAATTCTGCCCTCATATTCTTTGACATATTAGTTATCTTTGTGGCTTTAGCATTGGAAAAGTTATTTGTCCGTGAATTGCATTTATTGACAGGTATAATCTAAACTGGAAACAACAAATCCCAAACACTGCTATGTGAATTATTGAAAAAAATGCAGAACAAATTCACTTTGCTGAGTTTATAGAAAATAAAGCTATTTTACCATAACTTCTAAGATTTCTACTTAGAAAACTGTTGCCTCTTCAGTTTAGAAACATTTGCTATCTCTAACTTAGAGATATTGGCTATCTCACTTCCATCGGGAAGTACAAAGGGTATTTGCCAGGTAGTCGGCCTCTTTTGTTTGGTGTTCCCGGTGGATGCCAGAGAATAGATAGAGACACGTTAGCTCTTCTCTGTCTTTTAAAATTCCTTTAAAAAAAAAGGGGGGGGGGGAGGATTAGTCAAATTCAGAACAAATTTTATGGCATGAGTCATCATGCTAGAGTCAGTGAGGTGACTTGTTTAAACAGCAACTTTCTTTATAAGTAAGGATTTAGGGATTGGGCTTTTCTTAGGAAGTTATGTGGAAATAAACTGGAGTCTATTTTAAACTGGATTTGAAGCTGGTATAAAAGACATGGGATCCGTTCAGGGAAAGTCACCTAAGGAAATAGAATTATCAACAGGACTTTTTTTTTTAAATCAGAACTAAATGGCACAGTGCTATAGTGAAACCACTGCAAGCAATGTCTGGTTCCTAATGTAGCTAATTAACCTGTCATTTTTAATTTTTAGTGGGGACTCAGAACAGTATCACCTTAATCTTTTAGATCTAAGATTAGAGACGCTAAGGAAAAGTATGGTCTTTTAAAATATTTTGTGTTGCAATTTGACAAGCATTAAATTCTTGAGGTTAATAGACAAGATTTTCAACAGGTTCCCATACTTACAGGAAATGTTGAGTGTAATGAGATGTGCGTAATAGGAAACAATGTGCTATAGCAATTCTGTTTGATACTGTGGTGAATAGCCTTTGCAGCTTGGAGTGAGTTAACCTTTGCATATGTCTGCTGCATCCTTCTCATTTCTCATTGATTCCTTGGACATTTGATAAAACGACTTCTATCACGTTTTAAACACAATTATGAGCATAATTCAAGTCTTGGAGATTGTCAGCTATAAAGGTCCCAGCTAAATACTTTATTCTTTGCAAAGATTAATAACTAGGTTACACCCATAAGTTATAAACATATTAAATTCTCATTGATTTTACTACAAATTCAGTTTGTGCATTTTAGAGGTGAATTTATGTCAGAGTTCCAATGCTCATCCTAACAATATCACTGTGGGGTTTTTTCTCTTATTAAAGAGGAAGGTGAAACAGCCACTTTTATCATGATGTGCTTCAACCAACCTTGCCTTAATAAGCCTTTGTAAAGAGACAGCCAAGGCTCGCCAGTTTGAAGTCCAGGTTGCACTGAGAGCTTCAGTTTTGACCACAGCTCTGCAGCTTACAGTTCTCTACTTGTTTTTACCAATATCTGCTGGAAGTCAGTAACTTGAGTCCAACAAAAAACATTTTGTGGACATCTCTGATGCCTTTTTTGATTATGTGAGGTAGCTTTAAAAAAAAAATGAAATATTACCAACTAACATCCATTTGAAATCTCAGTTTATAAATGTTGGATTTATGCTACATGGATCTGGTGGAATTTTAAAAACTGGATATGAGCTACAAGCATTTTACAAGGTTTTTTTGAAGGTATGGGAGCAAAGAAAGATTTTATGTCATTTGGGGAGGATATTTGATAAAACTGAATGTACTTTGCAAGGATAAATTATGACAGCCTTATTCATATTAGTCATGTTGGAAAACTCTGAGCAGCTTAGACTATTCAAAACCATATTTCATACAGGTCCAGTGCCATGACTCTGCACACCAGCATTCTACAGCACTTACACTGGTTATAACAGGATGCAGGACTACATCTCCCGCAAACCCTCAGCATTCTGATGCCTTGTTGTGGCCTTTAACCACTTCATGACAGTGCATGTGTATTTTAATACATAGTGTTTGGAATCTGACACTATTTCTTCTTTCTCTCTGAAGGAATTCCTAACTCTTTATTACTGCTTCCTATTGGGAAAGATGCTGCCTTATGTTGCCAAGTGGTATGGCAGTAAACACAGAGTGCAGTGTTGAGAAAAAGGAAAGGCTTCCATTTAGTTTACTGTTCTTGAGGGTCCATTGGGACCAACTAATGGATCTTTTCTGTGCTTCTCAGTTAGTGAACAAGTCATATCAATTGACACAGTTTTATAGTCCTGAATATTTTTTCCTATGTGTCTGGAATAGGAATATTGTGATGGAAAAATCAGATGCAGTAGAAAAAAGCCAGCACAGATCTAGCAAAGAAATGGGGTCACTCACTAGCAGATGGCTGAGATAGGTGGGAAGCATGTTTCACTACAGCCACATGGGTGGGGATGTTATTTGGGAGATGA